TAACATGAAAAAAATATTTCGATCGAATATCAAGCGGCACTTGAGTGAAAAAAAAATGAAAACGCGAAAAATTCTCGAAAAACCGGTCTAAGAGGTTCTTAACGGCTCTGAAGTATTTTTATCTTGAAGTACGAGAAAAAACGAAAATTTACTTTTTTTTATTTATCAAAATCGGATGCTCCATTCAAAAGTAATGATTTTTTGAAAATTTCAAGTTTCGTAATGATTATCTCAGAAACAAAAAGTGGCAGGACAATGAAATTTTGCATGATCACTGGCTATATGTAGTAGTTCAAAATGCACCTACTCAATGATTTTTCCCAGACAAAAAAAATCCGGTGTGGCTGACTTGACATGGAATGTCCCATATATGATATGAGTGATCTAGATAGAGGCCATCGAGACAAGTAGTTCGAAAAAAAAATTAAAATCGGTGCAGTTGGTGGCGAGATATTGCGGGAAAACGAAATTTAAACAAGTCATTATATCTCAGGACCTACTTGACCGATCGAGCTGAAACGAAGCACCAAAGTGAGCCTCTCATTTATAGCTATCATGAGCCGAAATTTCAAATTTTTAGCTGCAAATTTCACCGTATTTACGTTGAATTTTCTAAAATTGAATCACCAAAAACCCGAATCTACACACATACATACAGACACCGCCCTAAAAACATCATTTCTTTACGTTTCATGACGTTATAGACCATTTGCAACCAAAATTAGTGAATCGAAAAATCGACCAAAAACAATGCTTCCCTTCGGAAGCAAAAAAAATGAATGTATGTTGGCTATTGACGATAAAATCATGACTTCGAAAGATCCGTACCTCTTTACATAAATTGGTGATAAAAACGTCAATTTTCTCTGGCTTTGGTTCTAATTGAGATCTATCGGTCTCAGTCCAATGCGTGAATAATACTGATTCTATTGAATTAACATCGCAAATCTCTTCTACATGAAGAAAAATTCTCTCCGTCCCGGGACATTTCGAAAAATCTCCCAGATGACACTCTGGAGTTGGCTTCAGGCACATCGATGCTTGTATCAGTTCGGAATAGTGCTTTGGGAAAGGCCAGTAGGCGTCTGCATCTTGTAATCCGTAAGCTTTATTGCCCAATAGTCTCAGTTTAAAATTTTGATGATTTTACATACGCATACTATATGAGTCCCATTGTCTCCAGCTAACACACACTCTCGAGGACGGAATTGAGCAAATTTGGAAAAACCTACTTTATCTCGCGGAAATTCTATCTAAAAAGCCGTGTAAATTTTTTTCAAATTTGCTAGTATCAAACCTCTTTGGACATGTTGCCGGGTTCCCCCAATCTTTACAGAGAGAAAATATTTTTTTCCTGGCATCATACGACTAATATCATCACAGTGATAAAATTTTTGCACTAATTGTTCAGTTGTATTACTTACGGAAGATGTGCGGGTCTTTTTCGGCAGACTGGCTGGGTTTCCCCCATTGTTTTGATGAAGCCAATAAGCTCAGTGTGCTGTGTAAGAGGTCACGTTGAATGTTGCTTGAAGTTTAGCGATGGATAATGATTTAGGAAGACATATCAATAGATAAATTTTTTCCTGTAGCAGATGTGACAGTTTGTAGTTTGTCCATGATCTCCTGAACGACTTCATTCACATCACTAGTGAACCATTCAGGTCCGAAAGATGTTGAAAATGATTCCTTCAAAGAGTCCTTTATTTTCCTCTTCTCCCCAGCACTTCGGCCAACCTAGTTTGTTGGAAGAGGAGATTGCCCTAATACTGGTAAAAATTTATTCAGTTGATGAAGTGTAACGTCCTCTGCTTCCTCACACCCATCATATGAATGATCAGAATGTCTCAACTCACTGTAGATTGCTAGTGTCTCCAGCTTATCTGACACTACCTCATACAAATCCACGAGGCAATTTGCAACTCCCTCAGATTTATCATGTGCATCCTTCTTCTCCCTCCATTTCAGCAATGAGTACCATATGCTGCAGATAAACTGGCCATCACCGATTTCTTTGGGAAATTAATTTCGCACATGATCAGTTACACGGAACATTCGTTTGATAACTTTGGAATGACCCATCCTCGATAGCGGATTACAACAATTTCTGCGCACCATAATATCCGAACCGATTCACAACAGTTCCATAGTTACTCGATATAATTTCTCGATTGAGGACTTAAGTTGGAATCCATCGGGATCTGGTATTTATATCCTCAGGAAAGTAAGATGTTTGCAATTGGACAGTCTGATTGCATGGATCATTCATTCAACCAATAAAAGGCAGTAAGAAGCCAATAAGAACTATATGTGTATGAATGCCATTAAGGATTGAGGAAACAAACGGCTCCACAAGGGCCCTATGGATTTCGCAGAATATAACCGCCGGTGACACAATGGAGGGCATCGGACGGATGGCGCCTTGACACCCCCTCAAAATTCCGTACATTGTATTGAGGTACTTGTACAGATTTCCGGTCATTCCGTCCTTCCACTGCTAATGTGAATCAAAGTGGTATGCGTCTACGTGGAAACTCTTAGACATTATACTTGACCCATTCCTTTCAAAAAATTTTCACCTGTGTTTTCTTGGAAAAATAACAATTTTATTATAATCATTTACCTTTCTTCGACGAAAGAGTAAAATTTATAAGTTTTCTCTTCCCTAGGAGACAATTTATCAATTTTATTGCTTAATATTTTTCCATGGAGGAGGTATTTAGTGAGTGACATGCACCCGAAATCCGGTCGCGCTGGAGCGCTCAGATTGGGCGGTGAACTGAGCGGAGCACAGAGCGGCAGAGACGTCACATGACTTCATTAAAAATTGTATATCTCATGAGTTAGTGAATGTCATTGAACAGAAATTTGACACCGCTTTTTCAACAATATTTCTCACAACATATATTTTTTTCCGATTTTTCCGAGTGGAACTGACGAAAGTACAATGGTTTTCTAATTGTTTCTTTAAAAAATAACAATAATGTTTGTGTTAATGTCAGGAATAGGCACTGAGACCGGATAGGGGTTTAACACAATAAACAAATGCACAAATAAACTGCACCTCGTGGTTTATTCACTTAACACAATACTCGTTACATAGCGCTATAAATACCATAGCTAATGAGCTCTCTAGCTCCAAGAATCTCTTAACAAAAGTTCAATTAATGGACTGTACACTTTTCTCAACCCACGAGGCCAGCGTCAGAACGAATAATAATGATAATAAAGATACGCGATAAATATGTAAATCAATCTCTAGATGTCGTCTGATGTACGATTAGACGTTCAAACCCATTCTGAGAGATCATTCATCTAGCAACAGTTTGGATTTTTCGATCGAAACTTTTTGTAAAATGAGGATCTGCCCTTTCGCAACGAAAAAGGTGTTTTGATTTTTTTTTTTGATAAAATGCATAGCAATTGAGATATAGATGTTCAAATGCATGTCTAGTCAATGCCCTTGCCAATGTTGCATGTTTGGTTAAATTATTATCCATACTTTCGGATATATTCAATATCGACTATAGCTGCTCATTGAGATTAGGGTCGCTGTCGGGCAGGCACCCCGTGAGGGGTTAATGATCTCACACCCCCAAAAAAGCTCAACAAATCACAAAAAAAAGAAAAATCTCAAATCCTTGAGTTTTCTTTTGTTGTCAAAGTCACTTTTTTTCTCTCCACGGAAAATAAGAACAAACAATTATTAAAACTTTGTTCGATGGTACCATAATTTGTTTCCAACTTTCTGTAATTTTTCCCTCTTTCCAATTTTTTCCTTACAAAATTAAAAAAAGATTATATTATATGTTTTTGAATAAATAAGAGCTATTGCAAAAACCAAAATTCTGAAAAAGAAAAAAATACAAACTCCGTCTTACATTCCGTCTTATCGTATATGGTATATTATGATACAAGTGGAAAAAAGTAGTTGTTACCTCGCCTTCGGCTCGGCCTGTAACCTTCAAACTCGTCACGAAGTACATTTTCTCATATATATCGTACAATATTTTATGATACTGTTGAGAAAAAAACGGTTCATTGTGCGCCAAACAAACAAAAGACTGCGCTTTTTTCCACTTATATCATAAACATTCGTCTTCAACTCGCTGCATCGCCGTAAAAAGCGACGGCGCACAAAGCAAAAAAGATTATCTTTTTGTTAGCGCAAGGACAAGAGCTGAAAATTAGCTCATTTTTTACAGGGTTTGTTATCAATTCTCAGTATTTAGGAGCGAGAGTGTAATTTAAAGCAAGCAGATGACCACTCCTATATTGCAGAAGGCATGTGACTGTTACTTTATGTGTTATTTGTATTTTAATTTTTTATTTCTACCAATTTTGTTAGTAGTAAGCTTCCGCATGGATCCATAGCAATTCCCTTTTTCCTAGATAGAAGACCTAGATAGAAGACATCGAGACGAGTATTTAAAAAAAAAAATGAAATCGGTCAAGTAATTTTTAAGATCATATCGACCAATATAGTTTTATACAAAAAGTTGAATATTTCTGGAACTACTGGACCGATATCGTTCAGCCAAAATACCAACCTTTGGTATTATGGGAGCTATGATGATACCAAATTGCAACTTTCTATCTCAATTTCCTGTCGTTATCGCGCGTACATGGAATTTTCGGAAAAAATGGAAAATCGTCAATATCTCAAAACTTTGTATGAACAAGAACAAAAAAACATGAAATCGGTCAAGCAGTTTTTGAGATATTGACCAATATAGTTTTATACAAAAAGTTGAATATGTCAGAAACTACTGGACCGGTCGAGCTGAAATTGTGCATCAAACTTGAGCTTAATAATACCTAGTATGGATCAAAATTTCACATCCATATCGATGAATTTTTCCGTATTAATGTTATATTTTCTAAAAAGTGGTAACCCGAAAACCGAACTATCATACCCGGACATACAGACATTTTCTTAAAAAATCATTTCTTCACGTTTCATACCATTCTACATCATTTCCAGGCAAAATTAGAGAATGTCAAAATCCGACGAATACCATGCTTCCATTCGGAAGCAAAAAAGAATAATAATTTCGAATTGGTACTCAACAGTTTTTTTCACGATATATTAATTATTCCGCGTGCAATAAATCATATACAGGGTGCACGTATCCATCCCGCATTGTCTGCAATATCTAGGTGATGGATATTAGCGGGGGGCGGCGAGAAGGGGATGCTGGTAACTCCATGCGGGTCTTAACAAAATAATCTTCATAGAGATATTAAATTTCAACTAATCTTTTGTTCTTCCGAGGTATCCTCTCCAATGACAAAAAGAAGTGGGGAAAAATCAATTTTACCTTTTTCTGTCGTTAAGTAACGATACACTCGGCTGTGTCCACCCAAGATGCGCCAATATGAAAGTGTCTTTCTCCACTCCGTCAGCTTCCTGGGCAAGAGCATCATCAGTATCGATAGAAGAATAATAAAAATGATCGTCCTCGGCCAAAATCCTCCTCTTAATTGGCGATCTGACAGGATCTGTCTGAATAGATTTATCGCACTGATGTACACGGAATTTCAGAGTAAATCCAGGGACCTGTGGCATTACTGTATCATCCCTGTACTCCATATAAGGACTTTCTCCACCAGGAAGATATAGCAAATTGCCAGAGTCAGATCGTCTGTACGCAACTCTCTCGAAATTATTATTTACTGGAAATGTTGTACCATCCACCCAGTTGCCATCATCCTTGATTGGACAAAAATGTGTACGTGCAGATGTCAATAAATCCTCATCATCATCACCATCATTGCCGTCATTATCATTATCATCATCATCATCATCATCATCATTCTCGTCATCATCATCATCTTCTTCTTCATTATCGTCATCAAGAACAACAACCACATTCTGAAGACCGTTTACCTCAGAATGTGAGCATGACTCTTTGCCGATTACTGTTGGAGTTTTGCAAGGTGGAAAGGTGAATAAACAACTGTCATTTTGTGGGCTATTATCTAAGGCTTTGTTCATCCTCCAGCACCAGGGTCCATCGCCAACATAATCCGACCAGCTCCAATTATAATCAAGTTTATCTTTTGCATTTCCATCGATGCATGTGTCAACAGAGAAATCAATGTCCCAAGGAATAATTGGAGAGTCGTTGATAATGGATTCTTGACAAAGTGTTGTCGATGATGAAGAATCGTTAAAAGGAAAAATCGGAGGCAGTTCAGCAGTGTCAACAGGCCACAATGGTCCAGATGGTATTGACAACGATGGGGCTGCCCAGATAGATGCCTTATCCTGAGAATTACCTGGGCCACTATCCCAGAGGGCTTCTAAGCTCTCATCAAATTTGGCTTGGAGCTGGGCCAGGCGAAGTTGGTCCAACTCTAGTTCGCGTTCTTTTTCCCGTTCACGTTCCATTGATTTTGCAAAGCCAAATGATTCTTTTCCATTGGTACGCCGTGATTCTATGGCCTGCTGTGACGAGAAGTAAGAGTAATAAATCATTGAGGAATAAACCGGTAGAGAAGTGGTAAAACGGTTCTGCGGAATATGCTACAACTACTGCTGTCTCATTAGTTATTTTTTGCTGCTCATAAAAAGATCTATCAACTTCCGGTCACATAGTTGATTCATTTTTTACCGAGATGCCCGAAAACTCGTTTTCGATTCAGAGTGGTCTATGCTGGAGTAGAGGGGGAATAAATCGAACATAACCAATATTTGCGGAAAAATTGATAAAAACTACAAAAAAAAGGATCGTTGTTAGAAACTGAAAATATTTGAAATTGCACCGTGTTATATTTGACTGACTTCTACTCCATTCGAACCCAAGGCAAGTTGAATTGGCAACAATCTATTAATAACAATTTTGTTTAGCGAAATGTGATCATACCACCGTGATGAGAATAATTCATATCTGAATCGTATCAAGATTGTATTGATGAATAACAATTGAAAAATTTGGTTTGCTTTTCTCCCATCTTCACCCTAAAATGTTTTCCATGCTTCTTTCGTTGTAATTTGAACATCTGTCTATAACATTATTTCGGTAATGAGCATTTTCAACAAAGAATTTCAATGAAGTTGTTTGAATTAATCACCAGGAGGAATTTAATGTAAGAAATTTCATTAAATTCACTTGTTATCATTATTGATACAACCACAGAAATAATTGATAAAAATCCGTTCGACGTGTGCCGTTTTACTACTTCAAATAATTAATACTTGTCATGAAATTTGCCTATATTATACTTACAATAGACATTTTAGTGTTTTTGTGCCGCGATTTATTATTTGAAGTAGTACTAATGCTATTTTTATTGCTGTTCTTCTTATTATTGTTTGCGTTGAGACCGATGGTTCGGTTTTTATTATTATTGTTGATGGTGTCCAAGTTTTCGTCCTTTTTATAAATGGCTTTCTTCGGAGTAGCAGACTGAAGCGCTGGAAACGCGGCGTAGTATCTGAGTGCTCTGCCGCGGGGCGTTAGGGATTCAAAAGTACTGGACTTAGTGTCATCCTCGAGTTTTCTGCATTCGTCCTTATCATCATTAGTTCTGCCCCCCTCGAGATTTCTCAGTTTAGCGCACAATTCGTCGACCAATGACTCTACTCCGCATTTCTGCTCGGTTTGGAAAAATTAAGGCTTTTAGTAATGAGTAAGTCAAAATTGTTTTGGGGGTTTTAAAATTGTTTTGCCCGCTCAACAGGAAGAATAACTGGAGATAACATAACAAGCAATTTATTTTTTTAATACACTGAGAATTAAGAAATTCAAGAATATTCAATACCAGCGCAGTAGTCAGCCGTCTAAGTCTAGACGGTAGTTTTCTATGATACCCATACTGCTGGATCACTTCGACTTCGCTACTACTGTGGCAAGTGCTATTACGATATCATCCCATTAATCAGTAATTTCAGAATCTATTATCAAGGGACACTGTACTGCTTCGTCATAAAAATCATCTGACTGCTATATTCTGATAATCAACAAAACTTTTAGTATCAAATAATACATAAAATTTTATTAGGTGGAGAATGATGTAATGAATGTGGGCAAATATGGTCTCGTCTTGAATAATCTTAAACCACTTCAACAGAGGAATTAAATATAACTAAAGCTCGGATTATGCCATGTTGAACATTCTTTTACCTGATCAGCGGCATTAGTGAGGCATTGCACGACAGCGCGTCTTTGCTCTCTTTCACCCTGCAGAGGCAATTTCACCCTGGTGCGTACCCGATTATGTCGTCCTCCAGTACTGAGGGATGGAGACAGGGCCGAGTCGGGGCGGCGCAACAGGCTAAGAACAAAACGCGAGTAAGCAACTGGGTCAATGCCCAATGCATCCAAGCGTGATTCAAGCCAAAGGCGCAACTCCTCCTCGGCCCGATTACCAAACACCCCACCACCACCGGGGGACGACGCTATCCCGACGAGACGAAGTGCCGGATTCCTCATTCCAAGTCTTTGGGCAACCACCAGGACCTTTGCACTCTTGTTAGCTCCACTAGTTCCGGGGTGAACATCTCTCCTCTATAGAATTATTAATTAACATTGAATTACTGAATTTCAAGAAATGAAATAAAATTAATTTTCGTAAATATCTGCTCGTAAAAGTCCACTTGGGGGAGAGAGAGAGAGAAAAGCATTTATTAAATGTCCTGGGGTTAACAACACCCCCTAAGGACAACAGCAGGATTAAATACATTATATAAAGTTTCCAGAGTAAGATTCAGTCAGTAAATTACATAGATAAAAATAACAATATTTATAAAAATAGACTCAATAAGTGACTTGGGGAGGGGATGAGCGGGCGTAAAGCCTTTTTTTCGTGTTCCGCACGAAGTGCGTAAAGTTCAGAGGTCGACACACGACCGCGTAAAAAATCATCCACTTCAAAACCCACACGAAGGATTCCAGCAGCCCCTCCACCCCACCCCCCGCGGATATCAGTCATCTAGATATGACGGATAATGGTCGAAAGATGCATGCACCCCGTATATTATTTAGTGCGAAATAATCCATACATCCTGAAAAAAGTAGTTCAAAACCAAAAGCCAAAATGGCCACCGAAAAAACGAATATTTTGACCACGCGAGCTCTCACAAAATTAACTATGCTCACCGCTTGATTACGCAAGAATCTCCAGAATGACCTCTTCTGGACTCGCAGTACGGTTGTGATGTCAGGAGATAGCCGAAAAATCCAGGCACACCCAAAGAATAATTCACAATAATTACTGAAGCTCAGAGAGCGTAAAAAGACTTTGTTTGCGTAGTTCGATTTATTGATACTGAACCTCAGCAAAGAATGTCTCCTCGGAGGAATAGATCGCCCAGGCGAACTTCAATTTTTCTTTTCCCCTCATCCCAAACAACTGATGTTAGCGCGAAGAATTCGCATTCAAATTGTAAATTTCAAATTGCAATAATCTAAAAATTGCTCGTCCCAGAGAATTGGGACTTACACCTCGCGGTTGGTGATCGTGATCCGCGTTGAACGACGCCAGAGCCAGCATAATCCATTGCTCCGTTAATGTTACAGCATGATTTTTTTTATGTTGTGGCCTCGCGCCGCAAAAACATTCGTGAAATGGTGGGGGTCACACGTAGAGGACTGAGTTACCTGCTGGCGTGCGTCTATCGTCACGTAGGTGTACCACTCGTCATCTGCCGCAACGTCGATTTCATAGCTCCTTTCCCGACTCTCCGTTCCATTACCCTCGTCACGGAAGTTCACGCGTAACCCGCGTGAACTTGCTGACGGTTACGCGTGAACTTCCTGAGCGCAATAGCATCAGAATTGAAATAAATCAGAAAATAAAAGAGTAAATACAAGAAAACAAATCTGAAAATGTTGCCTTGGGTTATCCGACTCCTCAGTGGGATTCAATTACTCATTTTTCCTCCACTGAGCCCGAGTCAGTTCAGGCGAGGAACAGTACATGATTTTTATCGTGTTACAATACATATTAGGTGCATAAATTATTTCTCTGCCTTTTTTCGACAATTCTGAAATTTATTTATAAAAAAATGAATACAGATCTAACCTTGAAAATAATCACCGTCACTTTGCACGCATTTCTCCCATGTAACGGGCAATTGTCGGATTCCGGCTCGAAAGAAAGATGGTGGTTTTGACTGGATGGAGTCATCAATGCTCTGTCGGACTTCTTCAGGAGATTGAAACTGGGTATCCACCAGATGATGTTGTAGGGCCCGAAAAAGGTGATAGTCAGAAAGCGCAAGGTCTGGAGAATACGCCGCATGTGGGAGAATTTCCCAGCCCAACGTGGAGATAACTTTCAGGGTTTCTTTTGCCGTGTGTGGCCGCGCGTTGTCCTGCAGCAAAATGCAGCACTTGCCTCATACCACTACCAGTGAAAGGCCTCTTTTCCTCAATAGCATCACTCAATTTCACCAGTCGATCCTGATAACGCTTAGCAGTGACGGTTTCCCCCTGTTCGAGTAACGCATAATAGATTACACCTTTGGAATTCCACCAAATACACAACAATTTTTTCCCGTGAATGTTCGGTTTTGCAGTGCTAGTTGACGGGTTCCCCGGATAAACGCATGACTTTCGCCTCTTAGGATTGTCGTAAAATATTCACTTTTCATCCCTAGTCACAAGATTACGAGGTATTAACGATCACAGATAAGGTTGATCCGGACGAGCATCTCATGATACTGGAAACTATCTACACCGGAGTAATGAGGGATGCTGCGAAGATCAAGAAGCTACTGACTGACGCCAAAGGGAAGCTAATGGATTCAGGGGTATTCACAGAGAGGAGTTTAGTTGCCCTTCTTAAAACAGCGAAGTTACCGAAGGGTTTAAGTTTCCCCTTTGAGCTCGAAGTAGGCGGGATGTATCAAATGCAGGAGGTATCCACCGTCCACGTTCATGTATTTGGATTTAAAATTGTTACCTTGGTAGAGATACCACTCGTCAATTTTCAAGCGTTCGACGTTACGCTCACGCATGGAATTCCTGTGCGAACAACGAACGGGTATCACTCATACTTGGAGGCGAAGAACGAACTTCTGGTTATCCACGGGGCAACGCAGCAATTCGTGCCAATGACCGAGGGACAATTAAATCGCTGTAAGCAGATTCGAGGGCAATACTTATGCATTGAGTCTTTGCCCATACAAAAAATAAAAGATACAAGCCCATGTGAAGTGCAAATGTACATGAATCCTGAGAAGATGCCAACTACATGTGTTGTGAAGCATCTACAGCTTCAAGGGCTCATTCTAATTAAAATGAGAAAAGATAACGCATGGTTCTATGTAGCCCCAGAACCCGAGGGAGTAGAGGTCACCTGCGGCGACGAGCAAGTAAGGGATACTCTGGAGGACTCAGGGACTTTGAGGGTCAAGGACTTTTGCGAGATAGTCGCTTCCGACTTCACCATAAGAGGGCGGAAGTCACATGAGGTAACATACAACGCTCATGTTCACCCAAAATTGAACTTGACGTTAGATGACGTCACCACCACTCAGCTCGAGCAACGAAGATTCAATCTGAGTGACATCCAGCTGAACAATGTCGTTGGAAACGTGAAAGAGCTGGAAGGGCTCCACGTGCAACTGGCAGCTGAGAAAGAAGATCTGAACCGGATAGAAAAGAAGTTCGATTATCGAGAATTTCTTACACACCCATCATCGATATTCACCGGGGTAATGGTGATTCTAGCATTCATCTCGGGGCTAACCCTTTACTGCTGGTGTCGAAAACCTTGGCCAGCACCCAAAAGAGAAACGCCTAGCTTCGAAGTAGCATAAGAATTTATGTATTGTATTTAATTTGTAATATTGATTATTAATGTAAAAAACCTTATTAATTAAGGTTTATATCGGTGAGTTAGGGTTAATAGAGAAAATTCCTGAGGGTAGTAATTTTCTTCCCTGGCGGGGAGGGATGTTATGCCCCAAATAACTTCTCAAAATTCAACTGCTTATTCGAATAACATGAAGTGACGAAAGTGGCACAAGTTATTCGAAACAAACAGTGGAATGAAGAAATATAAAATAACGTTAAAAACTCGTGAATAAAACTTCACGAGTTAACGTCGAATACAGATAACTGGGGTGCAGCGTCAGCACTTTGCGCCCCGACGACTGGCCTTCGCGTACATCGGGCGTACGTCACCCGATGCCTTGCGGGTATGCGACGAAGAACAATGACCTGATGCAATCGTATTACATGAGGTGATAAAAACTCGTGTAATCGTTGTCTCGGGGCCAGTTACTTGTCAATTCTTTGATTACCTTCTTTATACTTTATACTCGCTTGATACATTCAGTATCAAACCGAGTTTTATTTATTCAATAACTTTTAAATTAATGATTAAAAAACCAATTCCCAATAAAGTAATTATTTCTATTATCTACCCGCGTGTAATTCATCCCTAATTGGACCCAACCGCTCGGGTCCATTACATTTATGTAAAAAGTCTTTTTGTTTGAATCTGTTCAGTAGGCATATTGCAATTTCACAGCGTCGACTTTTGTTTTCTGAGGTAAGATGATGGGGCACCTAATAACCTTCCTTCTGTATCCTCCCAATTATTTTTAAACGCACCGAAATAGCTGGTTGAGTCACTCCAAGAGTATCAGTAAGCTCCTGTTGTGTTTGACAGGGATTTTTCATTGAGTAAGTTGTCCAACTCCTCGTCCTCAACGTTTTTTGGTTGCCCACGACGTTCCTCATTCTGCAGATCCAAATTTCCATCCCGAAATTTTTTAAACCACTTTTTACATGTGCTATAAGATACAGCACTCCCTCCCAAGGCCGAACTAATCATTGCTTATGCTTCTGCGGCAGTTTTTCCAAGTTGGAAGGTGAAAAGAAGGCAGTGCCTCAAGTGCTGCTTGTCGAACGATATTTTTATTCACTATATTTTTTGAGGTTGTGTTAATCACACAACAATGGGACTTGAGTGGTTTGCCAGTTCACAGATGGCGCTTCAAAACGCCGTTTATTCCGGGGAATTCTTTCAATTCAAATAGGTGTTCTGATCAATTTAATCTAGGGGCCGAGAACGATGAAGGGATTCGTATTTTCCTCGATTGGACGTGTGTAGAGAAAATATATGATTTAATCCGAACAATAGGTATATGCCCTGGCACTCCGGAAGTTAGGTTAGGACTAAGAATGATGTGTATGTGTGTCAGAGAACAGTATGAATGCGTAGTTTTGGCTCATCCTACATCACTGAGGGAGCACTAAGCTTCGCAGAGGACCATCACGAGGCTTGGGGAACGAGTTACAACGACCCGAGGCCTTATAAAACCCCATAAAAGCATCGCACCTTCACATTTCCACGTCCAAGTTATCCACACCTGTCAAAACCTTGTCAGCTGAGTGATTTGGATACCGCGCTGGCCTCAATTACCTCAATAGGGCGCAGCACGTTACGGGGCCCACCCAACCTAATCTAGTACCCACACAATTCTCGAAACTCATCCACGAGGCGATTCTCACCTCCGGAAAAGCGTCACAGACCACCTGACACTAGTGGTGTA